CAGGCGCCTGCCACAACACCCTGCCATTTTTTGGTTGCAGCCATCATTGTTGTTTGGCGGGCCCGGGCTGGGGATTCGAGCCGCCACCTTAGGTGTATGTGGCTTGCGTCTTAGCCGCTTGAGCCACAGGCGCCGAGCCAACACACAATATCTTATCATTACTCATACCTGGTATGGTTCAATCATCTTTTTATCAGGTTTTCCATAGTATCGCAGTTTTGATTTCTGCAAGATCCTCACAAGCAACGCAGGAAAAGTTCTTCTGTTAAACCAGGTCGTTTCAAGGTGAGAAAGGGCAATTATTTTGGTGTCTAAAATATAAAAAACAGTAAAAATCCTATGTAACATGTCATGGTAATTTCAAAGATGTATTTTAATGGCTATAAATGGTAGCCAGATCATACCCAAAGCAACTCCTTCTTGTCAGCTAAACCACTCTATATATTTCCTCCACCTAAACTACATGCTATTTCTAATATTAACAGCTAAAATATATAAAGGACTTACTATGTGCCTGGAACAGAGGTACATACCTAGATTAACTAAGACAGTTTCAACTAGAATGCCTTCCATCTTACCGAAATGCTTACTTACTTACTTGGAAAACTTGGATCTAAACTCCCCTCCCCTAAAGGAAAAACTCAATGTATTAGAATATTTTCCTGCTACAAAGTACTTATATATTTAATTTATAGAACTGTTTTACCTCACATTTCTATAATGTCCTCATCTCAATTTCATGTGTTCTATCTTTCCCAAACATGCCAGACACACACCTTTGTACTACGTGTTTACTATTCCTTCTGCCTAGAATGTCATTCCCTTAAACATCTAGGTTACTTTCTCCTTCCCTTCTTCAGGTGTTGCTCAAAGTTCACTTCTCAATGATGTTACCCCTTCCCACTCTACTGAAAACTGATCCCCCATGCCACTTTATTTTTGTACAGAGACTTAAATATCTTCTCATACACGGTATAATTTACTTTGAAACATTTTAATCTCCAAGCCTGCTGGCAAACATAAGAACTGCTTAAAAGCTATTCATCATCTTAAAGGATTAATCTGTACTCCTGACTTTATTCTTCCTTGGATGGATTAAGAGGGGTTCCATCTGCATCTCTGCATATTTTGGTCTCTCACAGCCCATAGTACCAACTTTTACAACCTGACTTGGCATTAGTCCCAAAATTTCTTTTGCTAAGGCACCTTCCACTTCCATCTTTGTTTACACATTTTACCAAGTCAGCATTTTTGCACAAAAATCATACTTATAATTTCTTTTTTAATAAGAGGTTAAGTGGCATTTTTAAATTTTGCCTATACCATAAAAACACACACAATTTTCAGTATTATTAGCATAAATTGTATAATTTTCCTTCTAGATCTTCCTAATACATTACTAGCTCAGGATCACAGGTCCTAATATTTGATATAATGTAATTAAGTGATTTCCTTTTTAATACAATCAGACAAATCTCAGATCAGCTTTTAATTACCTGGAATGTATGTGAAATACTCTTGATCAATGAAGGACCTTAGATCTCTTTTTCTGGCTGGAATAATTTCAAGAGGTACATAGAACTTCATAGAACATACATATTTTCATTCAAATTCAAAAAGGAACTAGAAGCTATTTACAGACAATAAGGAATCTGTATAAATTCACAGCAACAAATGTGTTCATTATCAAAAAAGAAAATAAATAAATAAACCAGATATTCAATACAAAAAGTGATAAGGTAATCAATAGCACAGCAATTCTCACATTTTTGGTTGCAGGACCCCTTTACATTCTTATTTTTTTTTTT